AATAAATAAATAATAATAATAATAATAATAATAATAATCTATATCTTCTATCTATATATAATATCTATCTATATTCCATATATAATAGGAGAAGAAAAAATGCCTACGTGTCAGCGCCACAAAAAAAAGAGAATTTAAAAATTATTAAATTAATTTATCTAAAAATAAAAAATAAAAATTGCAAACACTACAAAAATAATGAAAAATTCAACAAGCAGTTTTTACAAACTTTTTTAAAATTCAAAAATTTAAAGTTACCTTTAACTTTTTACTGTTTTTTTAAAAATAATTTAAAAATAGTTTTTACAACTAATTTTAATTTTTTTTAAAACCCAGTGTGCATCAATCATTTTAAATAAATAAATAGTAAAACTGCCCACTAATTAAAAGAAACGATTATAAAGATATATTTTATTTTATTTTAAAAATGTAACTGATTATTTAAATTAAGTAACCAACTCACGTAAAATTAAATTATTATTTTTTTGAAATGAAAAATTAGTAATTTTTTGTATTTGAATTTAAAGTGGTTATCTAAACATTACCTCTTTTTTCTCTCTCTATATATACACAATTAAGAAATTTCAGAAAAGTAAATCCATCAACGTTTTCAGAAATATGCAGATTGATAATTCGGCACAATTGGATAAAGATACATTTATGAATATTGGTTTTATCCATTTGCTAATTTTATATTTATTTGGGTATGATTCTACATTGTGATGAATTTCTTTTTCCTTGCACTTTCTCAACATATATTATGTAATCATTGTAATCTTTCAATTAATTTTATTGATTAGTTTGCAAGTTTAAAATATTCATTCATAATTTCATATGATCTGTACCACTAATATGTTTTCACTAATTTAAAATGAGAGTTCACTAGAAAAAGAGACTCATGAAAAGTTTGAAAGTATTATATCCATAAAATATGTTTGAATAGAGTACGAGAAGTTTGAAAATAATTTTAATTATGTGTAGTGTTTTTATTTTTTACACTAAAGCCACATGATATCATTCAAAATTTTCAGTTTGCTGATTTCCTTATTCAAATACAAATATGTATTATATATTGTTTTGTGGTCTTGCATGATTATTACATACCAGTGATTAGATTATTATTTTTTTTTGACAAAATAAGAAGTTAAATATGTGATGGGATATTATCACTAATTAAAAACAAATCCAGATGAAGATACATATAAGGATGTCGAACAATACACTCACTTTATGGAAAATTGGCATTACATTTGTTGGTAAATCAATTTAAGTAAAGCTTAATTAATGATTTTTTTTGTTTTTTTTAAAAATCGTTATATCAATTAAATCGTGCATATAAATTTAAAGAAAAAAATAGCAAATAACTTGACAATTTCATGTCGTGTCATATGTGTTGTAAAAGAATTATATTGATTGTGGTTTGTTAGATCGTCATGTAATTTTTGTTCACCATCTTATTTGAAGATTCAGGTTTGAAAAAAATCCTAATCTATTTGGAACATTTTTTTTATGAGACGTATTTTAAACACCGTGTGATGACTTCTTTTATTATATATATATAAGAAAACAATATTATTATTAAAATTAAAAAATTAAAAATTTATTTTAAAAGTTACTCTTATAATTTTATTTCAATTCAAATTTTGAAACATTCATTTTTGAAATTAAAATTAAATCAAATTCAAATTTTGATATATTCATTTTGAAATTAAAATTAAATTCATAATATGGCAACTAAAAAAATCATACACCCATTAAATAGGAAAACTAATCACACTTAGCGATCATCTTTAATTTATACTTTTATTTTCAACTGATTATATAAGTGGTAAAATTGTAAATGATAAAATTTTAAAAATATTTTCAGTTTTTAAAGAAAAAACGGGAATACAATATTATAGTCCAAAATTAAACTAAAAAGATGAAAAATGAAATTACAAGGATAATGATAATGATGACATTACTAAAAATGTGCATATTATTACCAAAATAATTATACACTACTCAAATTTTTAAATCACATGATAACGTATTATTTATTATTAGATTCCCTTCAAAAGCAAGGTAATTAATAATATTGATTTTCTATTGTTCCTTCATTTTTAAAGTACGTCTATAATAATAATAAAAATTGAGTCATATCTTTTTATTTATTTAGTTCTTCTATCCTAATATATATATAACACGACTAAAATATACATTTTGAGACAATCTATCTAATTATTGTATTTTAGCATTTCATATCCATTACTCATTTAATTCTATATAAATAATTTATATAACATTTGATGCTCTTAACAAATTCATATTTTATGATAAATTTGTGTCATATTTGATTTTTGTTCGTAATTTTAGAGCTACATAGCATTATGGTTGTCAATGAAAAATTATTTTGTTGTTGTATGGACATGAAAATTACAAACATACCATTCAAGTATTTAATATGTGTTAAGAAGTGATGAGAAACTTGCTATGCTAATCGCCATAACAATTACGCAAGAGTAACTTATGAATGGAAATGTGACACTCATTAAAAGCGTAGAGAATCGAGTCCTCTTCAAGGCATAATATTGAGAAATATTAATTTAAAATATTTTTTGTCATATATATAGACAAATATATAATATATGTTCGAGCATAATATATAACATAATTATTTTCTTTTATATTATCCGTGCATCGCACGGATACGTATACTAGTTTAATTAAAAATGAAGGATATACATTAATCACCCCAATACAAAGTGGGTAATCATGAATTAAACTATATGCATGCTGTCTTCTTTTAAAGGTCAACCGTAATACTATTCTTTCCTCCATTCCATCTTTCAAGGGTCAACAATAATACTGTCCTTATTTTCTTTTAATCAATTACAAATATAAATAAATTAAACTCCAAAAAATAGCATTAACATTTACTTTTTAACTTTATTTTTAAACCAAAATTTAGTATTTCTTGGTTCTTGAATGATTCTTATCTAATTAACTTAAATTGTTGACTTTGCTAAATTAATGAAGTATTGATTGCTACCTTTATGAGCAATTAAAATTTTCTAAATAGCTGAAAAAGCAATGTGTGCTTTAAATATAATGTAAGTTTGTAGAGACTTATTTTTGCCTGTTAAATAATTCTTACAATCGAAAATTTTATTCAAATAACTTGATAAGGATGTACAATGACTATTAATAATATTAGCAACTTAATTAAATCATTGCAACCACATCAGGACCTTCTATTTGAATCTTTGACGCCATCCCCCACTTCTACAGTTCTACTTACCCTCTTATGAATTTTTACTTAAGATCTATTTGTTTAGCCAAAAAAATAATATAATTGAATTTATTAGAAAATTAAGTCAATCGAGAACGTAACAATTTATCTCAATAAGAGAAAAGCTAAAACAAAATTGACCAAAATGAAAAATATTGAATAAATATAGCCTATATTGGGACTATTTCTGACTAGATTCTTGACAGAAGTATATCCAATACAACTTGATGACTACAAAAAGTTGATGAACAAATAATAATAATACTAGAGAGAAATGCAAGTATTTAGCAAGGGAAATTTGATGATGTACAGTGTGATGACTTAGCTGATTTTATAAGATGAATTCTTGGGAGCTGATTATCAAAATAGCGTAGGAAGTAGATACGCAACAATAGGGAAGAGTTCGTGGGCGGACTTGGTAGAGGAGGATAAAGCTCTACCAGGTGAAAGCCTTTCGCCAGGAAATACATGGAGTAGAATTGTAGGGGCAAAAAACTAGTGGAAGAAGGAGTAGATCTACGGGGAGAGGAAAACCCTAGTTAGAATATGAAAATAACAGGTGAGGATATTCAAGAGGAGGTAGAATACCTAGGGAACAATTGTGGTATGCTATGTACTAGGCTCAAATCCACCACAAGCAGTCATGGAGGGGTATTTTAGACGGATTCCAAAGAAATTAGGTGTTGCTAAAGTAGCCCAAGTAAACAGAGGAGTATTTATGATGTGGTTTGGTAGTGTTGAGAATTGGGGGAAAGCGGTGGAGGAAGGGGTCCGCCAAATGTTTGATATAAAGGCAGTAATAGTGAAATCATGAAAATCTAACATTGATGTAACAAAACAAAGGGTGGACAAAAGTGTCAATTGGGATTGATGGTGGGATTAAATATCACGTACCGGAGGAAAAATGCACTAACAAAATAACAGGGATGATAGGGAACCTTATCAAAGCAAATAGAGCAACTACACAAAAGGAGAGGCTCATGACGTTTGCAAGAGTACTTATAGAGGTGCCTCTTAACAAGGAATATCCCAAATAGATAATGTTCGAGAATGAAGTAGGGAAGATAATCCATTAACAGGTGGAGTATGAATGAAAATCGATACTATGCGACAAATGTAAAAATTTTGGGCATGAAATAAGATAGTGCAGAAAACAGATAAGAGAAGAATAAAAAGGAAAGGTAGATAGGAATGAGGAAGATAAGGGGAGGAAGTTAAAACAAACGATCAATATAAGAATGTACAGAAGAAAATAGAAGAACCAGGAATAAGAGGGGAACCTAGTAGAGCAGGAACTTGGTGGGGGAAACTACAAATTTCTAAGGCATTGGAAAGTGAAGAACAAGGGAATAAGATCACAAACCTAAGCAATGTTAAGACTAGCAATATGCAAGATATGGGGAGGGATGGGGATACCCCATCCTCAATAGATAGGATTGGTTTTCTGGAACTCCTGGGGATTAAATAGTACTGATAAGAAAAAAGAGGTGCATGTCTTTCTGCATAACTCAAAAATTAGACTATTTAGTTTTCTGAAGACTAGAATTAAAAGGGCCAAAGCTAGTAGGGTTGCTCTTAATCTTTGTAAAGGATGAGCATTTACCACTAATCTAACAGTTCACCGAAGAGGTAGAACATGATTTTTTTGGAAACCGGAAACATATACGGTTGATTTGGTAATAAGGCAACTAATGCATAGCAAAGTCAAACATAGAAGGATGGGGGAAACTTTAATGTCACTATGATTTATGGGTATAATGAACAAGCTATGAGAAGCACTATGTGAAGTGAAATAACAAGAATACGGGAAAACTTAAATGGAGCATGAACAATAATGAAGAATTTTAACAATGCAATAAATACAAATGAAAGGGTGGGGAGACATGTGAAAATTGTAGAAAAGAGAGAGTTTAGGAAATGTGCTGAAGAGTGTGAGGTTCAAGATCTTAAATCAGCAGGGTCATTCTTCACTTAGAACAATAAGTTAAAAAGGGAAGATAGAGTATGGAGTAAGATAAATAGGGCATTGGTGAACATAGAGTGGAAAACATAACTACCAGCATCAGAAGTGCAACTTATGAATGAGGGAATCTATGATCACTGCCCAACAATTATAAGCTAGGAGGATGGACACATAATTGGAAGGAAACAATTCAAGTATTTTTTTAACATGTGGAAAATGACCCCAGAGTATAAATCCAGGATAAAAGCAAGTTGGGAAAAAAGAATAAAGGATCGAAACATGTTTTGATTAGTTGGGTAAAATGATGGCAGCGAGATAAAGCTTCATATTCCAGGCGATTCGACTTCCACATCTCACTGGTAAACTTTCAATCTAAGCAAGTCCTTTGATTTGAGAAAATTTTGTGATTATTCTAACCAATAATTATATAACAGTGTTGAAAGTTATGCGGAGATTTGGAGTTTTGTCACTAGATCCACCTCAAGCTCTCACCAGGTGATATGCAGCTCAGTCCAAGGAAGAATTCTTCCATCTCAGCCTCTCTTCTTAGCTCTCCATAACATCAGGTAAACATGAATCCCAATCATCCGAAATTGAACTCATCTTTGAAACTTAACCCCCTACTGTCCCCCTTCCACCAGAATGAACCTCCATGGAGGTTGATACCACTCCGAGAAGGGTACCCTTAGAAGATTCGATTAGTAATCTCTTCGTATAGAGCTTAGAATTATAATTAGATGCCGCTGTAAAAAATGAAGGCTGAGTGATGGTTGTATTTGTTTTATTGAAATTTTTATTTGTATTGAGCCCTATATGTTGGTGGACGGTGGTAGCACTATGAATCTCTGTCAATCAACTTCTAGTTTGACTATTTGCTCCATGATTGTGATTTGCATTCGTTTGTGCTGCTCTTTGATGTTTTCGTATAGCCAAGTTTGAATTTTGTGCCTTATCCATATTAAGAAGTCTTTTTTCTTCACTGTACAACTCCTAATAAGATGAAAAAGTTAAAGTACCTGCAAAATCAATAGCTAGGTTAGTTAAAAAATCTACCAACATGTTTCCTTTTCTGTAGATATGCTCAATTGTAATATTGTATCCCCTCCTCATAAGGTTAATCTCCTGAACCACCATAACAGTATTCCAAGGGACCACCCAAATTTCATCTAAAATCTTCTTCATGGTCAAGGAGTTAGTCTCAACTATAACCGGTAAAAATTGATTAGCAATACACCATTGTATCCCTTCCTTTATTGCCTTGCCTCAGCAATGATGTTAGTTCCTTCCTTAATCCCCTTAGCTGCAGCATACACCAAGTCACCATTCATAACTCTGATGCAAAATCTAATAGAACTAGGTCAAGGTTCCCTTTGGATGCACCATTTGTATTACATTTATAACAATTATTGTTAGGTTCCTCCATTGAACCACCTTACAATTTAAGTGAGGAATGTAACCTTCTAGAAACTGCACTAACAAAGGCCATTGTTGAGGTATGTACTGAAGCCATAGGTATCTATATCTCACCATGAAATAAATATTCTTATTAATCTTGAACTTAGCCTTTGTTATAGACATAGTCTTAACATGGAGTATTTGTTCCTTCTCTTCCAAATTTGTCATATTATAAGGATTGGGACAACTTCAAAAATAGGAACCAATTTGCTAGCACACTCACAAGACCACCATTTGTGTATAGTATAATTAAGTTGTAGAAAAGGACCATTGATGCTTGATGTTGCAGCAAAAGCATGCCAGATATGGCTTGCAAAAGAGCATGTGATAAATAGATGATTAGTGGTTTTCTGAGTATTTCCAATGCAACAACAACATTTAGACACTATAGAAACACATATTCTTTCTAATAAATCATCTATAAGAAGTCTTTGTTTCCACAATCTTCAGAAAAAAGAATGATGCATTGAAAGGAATCCCTCTTGTCCCTATATTGTAATAGAGTTGTGCTCATCTTCCTTCTACCTTGAAATGTTTCACGCATTGTTAAATGTGAACTTTCCAAACCTGGTTAGTATCCACCAAGATCTATCATAGTTTTGATTATCTTCTTAAATGATCAATTTTTGCTTCACATTATCAGCAATTTCAGCAGGTAGAATTATTTGCAACTTATTTTAATCCCATCCACCATTATGTATAAGCTGATTAACATCTTCCATATTCAAATTTATATGAACAGTAGGAGGAATGACATAGTATAGAGCCCCCAATCTAGTTCAGTTGTCAAACCAAATGTTTGAATGCCCGCACTTCGTCTCTCACCAGATTTCCTAGTCCACAGAGTCTCTAGCTTCCAACATCATTTTCCATAGTTGTGATCCCTTCTTCCACTCCACTATTTGAGGAATTTGCTTTTTGCAGTATTTATTCCACATATAGTTGGCCCACAATGATTTAACCGTCCTAATTCTCCATCAAAGTTTTGCAAAAAGAGCTTTGAAAACATCAAAGAGCGATCTGAGCCCTAAACCTCCTTCTTGTTTTGGTAGACACATATTCTGCCAAGACGCCCAATGTTTTTTCTTACCATCTTCCTTATTATTCCAAAAGAATCTTGCAAAGATTTTGTGAATATCATGAATGACACATTTTGAAGGATTTACTGCATATAACAGGTGGATTTGCATACTCCGTAAAACATTGGAGATTAGTACAACCTTTCCTCCATAAGATAAGTCTTTTCCTTTCTATGCTTGGATTTTATTCTTCACCTTCTTTATTATGTTATTGTAATATGATATCCTCATGATATGACACCCAAGATATAGGAAGGGAAACTGACCTCTGGAAAAACCTCTGAGATGTGACTATACTATTAGTAACCTTGTGATACATGTAGAAGAAGCTCTTCTCTGTATTGATATTCTGTCCTGATAGCCCTTCATAACCCTACAAAGTTTTCATTACTAGCTTTAAAGACTTTTTTCAGTAGCTACAAAAATGATAGTATCATCTACATATGATAAATGATTCAGGTTGGAGCTCCACTTTCGCATTCCAAAACTTCTAAAGGAGTTGTCTTCAAATAAGGCATTCAGTGCGCTAGATAAAAGTTCAGCTAATAGGATGAGTAGGAGATAGAGGGTCCCCTTGTTTCACCCCGCTGGTGGAGTGTAAAAGAACATGTGACTGTCCATTAATGAGAACAGAGTACTAATTGTTAGCTAATAATCTCCAAATTTATCAAGGAAAATCCTTGCAAAACCCATCTTCCTTAACACTGTTATTAGAAAAGTCTATGATACTCTGTCATATGTTTTTTCTGTATCAAGTTTAATTGCTACATTAGATAGATTGGCCCTCTTTCTTATATCGATAATGATCTCCTGAGCTAATAATACATTCTCTATTATGTTCCTCCCCTTCACCAAACCTTATTGATTTTTTTAAAATTAAGTTGGAGAGCAAAATATCCAGTCTATCATAGATGATTTTGTATATAACCTTGCTTATGAAATTGCTGAGACTGTCTCCTTGAAGAAAACCTGGTCACCATTTATTTCTTTGGTATCAACACAAGATTAGTGTGGGTGATATATTTTGGTAATGAAATCTCTTCATAAAAAGTATTAACCATTCTCATCATATCACCTCCTACTATGTCCCAACATGTCTGGTAGAAAGTTCCTGTTGAACCATCAAGGCCACTAGAATTGTAACCATCCAACTAAAAAAATGTTCTTTTAACCTCTACTTCTGTAGGAATGGTGTTCAAGAAAATATTATAATCTAGTGATATCATTTTGGAATATGTCTGATCAAGGAGTCATCTTGTGTCACATCTTCTTGTGTAAATTGCCTCTGAAAGAAGGTTACGACCTCTATGGTGAGTTGATTCACTTCTATCCAATCCCCTTCTACATTTTGGATTCTTTTGATATTTAGTATTTTCTTCCTTTTATTGACCAAGTTGTGAAAGAACCTTGTATTCCTATCACCTTCGGAAAACCAGGTGATGCATGCCTTTTTTCTCCAAAATTCTTCTTCATGATGTAAATAGCTCTTTATCTTTTCTTGCGCTTGTTGTACGATAGATCTTTTGGTCTCAGTGGTAAATTCTTCAAACAGTCCTCGTTGATTCTAACAATACCCTCCCTTATTGTGAGTTGTTTGAATATATCTCCATAGCATTCTCTACTCCATTTAGATAAGGCTATCTTCACCCTTTTCATCTCTTATTTTAGAATTATGTAAATATCAGTATCATTCTCAGCCCACCAATTTTCCTTCATCACTTCTAAAAAGGTTTCATGTTCAGTCCAAAATTTTAAATCTTGAATGGTTTGAAGAAATTATGAGATTGTTCCCCACAAGTTAGGAACAAATGAGCATGGTCAGATCTAGTTCTTGACAAGTGTTCCATCTCATATTGGCCAAAAATATTTTGAAATTGATGATTTATCAATAATCTGTCTAACCTTTGGAAAATGCATTCTTCATTTGATCTACCATTCTACCAAGTAAAAGGACTGCCTTTTAAGTTGATCTCAAATAGTTCAGATGAATTAATACAGAAGGAAAAATCCTCATACTATGTGGGGTTCACAGGGAGACCCCCAATCTTCTCTTTTTTATTCATTATCACATTGAAGTCCCCCCCCCCCCCCCCACCAAAAAGCGCCAACCCCTCATATCAAAAA